TAAATAGTTTTCAACACTTGCAATATATTAACATCAACTTTTATTGCACTAAAACATAAAGCACAAGCATCATACTGAACATCAGAAAGTTAAATAAGCAAAAGACCAATAAACGCGAGTTTAAACATTGAGTCCGTTGCTTCCAAAAATAAAAAATAAATCCAAACTTACTCTTTGTTTTATTTCATTGTCATAACAGTTGGACTAATCTTGTTAAATCTCAGCCCATTCAACTTCCATTCACTAGAGCAAATTGACTCAGAATCGATGAAACCGTTACGAAATAATGGAAACAAAGAAAGCTGCTCACTGGGGACTTTAATCAAACACTTAGAGGGCAGAGCCAAAAACAACACTCCCAAGCAATTTTAACACACAAGCATTCATTTCCTCACAAATTTCAACAACTTTCCCAACGGACCCCATTATCAAAACAAATCAACTTCATCAAATTAACACATAAAATGCACACCTTTCTCCACACCCAAATGCTCAACGCAACTTTCTTCACAAATCTGTCAGACTAACCTCCAAAAACCAAACGCCTAACTCCAACCTCGCTTCTGTCGGCTGTTAGAGAGAAACAAAGGGCCAACTTAAACAAAACAAAACTTGAACAAAATGAAGGTTTCAATAAAAATCAAACTTTCAGAGCTATGGCAGGGGGAAAAAATGCAAGACATTTTTCACAAAGAAACTAAACTTGAACAAAGTAAAATGAAAAATTCAAAGCTGAGAAGGTACCTGGTCTTGGCGAAGAGCGAGAGGCGGCGTTAGGGCTGGTTCCGAAGAAAATCTCCAAATTCGAAACTGAAATTTTGGGAGAGGATTCTGGTCTTGTGCGATTTTCTGTTTGGAAGCTTAGATTCTAAAAACAGTCTGACAGTACAGTCCGGTCTTTCTGAGTGCGTTACGTGAGAGAGACGAAAGCCTATGGAGTGTTTGCGTTACCAAAAAAAAAACGCACCGATGTTGTACTCAACTATAAAATCTTTTCGGTCTTCCATCATTTTTAATACAAATGCTAATGTGAAATTATACATTTAATATTAAAAATTATAATATAATATTTAATTTTAATTTTATTCTAATATTTTATGTTATTTAAAATATTAAATTTATTTTTTTTATAATTATTAAGATTTAAAAATTATAAAAGTAAATTTTTATTTTTAAAATAATTAAAAAATACAAAAATCACGTTAATTATATAAAAAAAAATAAACATTTCAACCAATAGTAATTAAATATTAAATTTCTTATATGTTATATTTGGTGAGAAATATATCACAAATTATAACATATAGAAAATTTTGTATAATAAATAACATTACATTAGAGAGTGTTTTTTACACTCAAATGTTAAATTTATAATCAACACATTAATTATAGTATTACATGCTCTTAGCCTGTGTAGACGTTTTATAGCATTTTGGAAATGATTTGTTTTAAGTATAAATTTTTTACGATATGGGTCTGGGTATGTTTCTAAAAATGTATATTATAGCTTTAGTTAGAAAATAAAAATGAAAATGTGAAAAAAACACACGTTCAACCATTTTTTATTTTCTTAACAAAAACTATTTTGTTAATTTTTGTTTCTGTTCTCGTTTTCACAAATGCTATTTAGAAACTCTTTTTATTTTCGTGTTTTAAAAGACATGTAGAAACATTTAAAAAAAAGATACAAACAGTACTAAACGATACTAGTTTTCCTTTTATTTTTACCAATTGGATATGCATGTGTGTATTCGGTTTGTTAAAGTTTTTGGAAATATAAATCTAAAATATTTAAGTAGAGCACATTTAATAGTTAAAAAAAGTTTTGTGGAATAATTAGACAGTAATTTATTTAAGAGTACATATAATTAAATAGTACTTAAGAAGATTGGAGATAAAAAAAATATTTAAATAGGAATATATTAAGCTCAATACATAAAAAAAAAAAAAAAAATAGAAGCCACACAATAGGAGAAATGAAACGCATGGACGAAACAATTACTTTAATGATATTAGGAAAAGAAAATAATTTATGAGGATTACTTTTGAGGTTATAATATTTTAAGGATTATAAGAAAAAGATAAGAATTTCAATACAAATATCCTTTTTTGAATTTTTTTCATTAATGACTGCAGTTGGTAAAATTACAAAAATCTATGTTTTTATAACTTATCAGCCAATCACTAATTGATCTTAGTTTACCACTGATGAATTCAATGATTCTTCATTATTAATAATATCAGTTAATAATTAACCAAAATAAATTAATAATTAATTAATTTTAATTAATAAATTATGATTTTATTATTGATAAATTATTGTGGGTCAATTGTTGATTGACTCTTTAAACAAGACCAATTTTGTAAAATAAAAAAAGTTCAATTATTTTTGTAATATAGAAAAAGTTTGGCTATTTATAAAAAAAGTGGTAAAAATATGTAGACACGTGTTTGGGCCAAATAAGTTCTAATAGGGAAAAATAAGAAAAAGGATATTTCAAGGAGGGATGGTAAAAAATTATAAATAAAATTGAAAAAAAAAGATATTTATGTCACTTTTTTTTGTTATTTTTTATATTAATTATTTAATATGTAAATTCTACTCTCTCATTTTTTATTTAAATAAATAAAATAATAAAATTTATGTATCAATTAATAAATATAAATAATAAAAAGAATAATATTAATATTTCCCTTTACCTTAAGCAAAAGTAACGATTCTCTTAAAAAACACAGCATTCCCAAACTCACTCATTCACGGTCAAGTTGAAATGGTGAAGCTAGAAACGAAGGTACGTCAGATGGAGATGTCAGATGGGGCTGTGTTGGGGTGGAAACGACAGTGGAATGCTAATGTCCCAAATAAGATTTACGTCTCGTTTACTTAACAGATTTGAGTTTTCAATTCGAGTTGAGATGTGATATTTTTTTAGAGCTTTTCACTGTAACAAAAAAAGTTAAATGTAACATTTTTTGAGAATTTTTTATTGTAAAAACTTAAAATTAAAAGATCAAACCGGTGAAATGAGCGATGCCTTAAGATACAGGCATGGCGTGCATGCAATGGAGCTCTCCTAACTAGTTCCCAGTTGTGCTGTCGTGGACGTGGAATTGACATTTGAAAGGTTTTTTATAGGCTCATTTAATTTGTTAATTTGAGCTTTCAATTTAAATTGAGATGTAATTATATATGAAAATTTTTTATTATAATAAAAAAATTAAATATGATTATTTTTTAAAATTTTTTATCGTAATAAAAATTTTAAATTTTAAATTTAAATCGATAAAATAAATTATGATCCCGTTCATTTCGCCGATTCGAGTTTAGAATTTGAATTTTACTACAGTAAAAAGCTCTCAGAAACAGTCACATCTAACTTTTTTACTATAGTAAAAAACTCTCACATAAAATCACATCTCAACTCGAATTATAAACTCGAACCAGCGAAGTGAACGGGCCTTCTATATTTATAAATGTTTGTTGGCATTGGAATATGTGTAATGGATGACAAGGGGCGTGTGTATTGCGCAGCTGCTGTACGGATCCCTGGAAAATTCACTCCTGACACAGCGAAATGTACTGCGGTTCAAGAAGGAACCTGTTTTGTCACTGGTGAATGATTGGGTTGTTGAGTCGGATGTTATCAGCAACGTTAACAGTCCCGAGAGCCTCTGAACCTTCAATCATTGATGATGTCCGCGAGGCTATTTTAAAAGCCAACATTTGCTAATTTGATGGCCCATTTTTTAGTTAATTTTGCATGTTCTACTAATTCTGTCTTCGCCTTATTTTATTAGCTCTTTTGTACTTGTTGGCGTTGCAATTTAGTAAATAAAATTTCAGGTGTCTTCTAAATAAAATGGTCTAAAATATATAGCAAAAATTAAAAAGGGCATAAAGCAACACTAATAATGGACAGAATATCAAAAGACATTGGGATCCAATAAGACATGATTGCAAATAAAATAGGAAGATTTTTAAATACGTTTTGCGTATTAGTATGTTAGATTTTTTTATAAATTTGTACATTTTTTATTTTTATATAATTTTATGCAGATTTAACGGACAAAAAATTTAACTTATTGATACGTTAACATACCGAAAAAAAATCCCAATAAAATAAAGTTATTTTCACAACTCCTATTTTATCACTCCAAGTGCATCCACAAACTACTTATAGCATTTTCACTGTCCTGTTTTGATAAATTGTCTTCTAAATTTTTTATTCTCATAACTTATCATCAAAACTTGCCAAATTTTAAAATATGGACCCAATCGATAAAACCCATTAAATTAGTGATGAAAATACATGTACCCAAAATGATAACACTGATAAAATGTGATGAAAGTACACCATCCCTATTATTTGATGTATGAAGAACATTTCTTGAATTTTTTATTTTGGCACTGAATTTTGTGGTTTGGCAAATTGCCTCCCTTAACTTTAGATTTTGGTAATTATTCTCTTTCATCTCATGCTCAATTTAACCGGCGTTATGAATTTGAGCCACATTGCAAAGTTCGACGGGTTCAAATGCTAATTACCAAAACTAAAAATTCATGCAACAATTTGTCAAAGCACAAAAATTATAGAGGGTAAGTGCCCAAATCCCATTTTATAAAGTTCTACCTCTTAACAGTCTGCCACATATAATAACGACTAAATGAACATGTACGTTTAGAGAGACCAAATCCTTCATATTTCAAGTATGGTTAGTCTGAATTTAACGCTGATTCACTTTTAGAGAGAGAGAGAGAGAGAGAGAGAGAGAGAAAGAGAGAAGGAAAAAAAAAAAAGATAACATTGTCATGCTTATGCTATTTTAATTTCTAGAGCAATAATAGCATGAGTCCGTGTTCGATCAAAGTCACAGGCCGACCAAAAGAATAAAACATGAAATCATATGTAATTTAAAGATCATAATCAAAACAATTGATGCATCCCAAATATGAACAAAGGTAAACATAAACTTTCTATAAATTTTTAGTGTCACTTGTTTCTCAAGTTTGCAAAGATCACTAAACAATTCTTCTCTATTCTTGCAATCTTTCTTTTTCCACTACTTTCTTTCTTCTTCAACTAGAAACATACTATATTAGATTCTATCCTAAAACCCACAAGCTTTCTTGCTTGCCTGCTGTGACTATACTTATGAAAAACCTGTTACATGTTTACCTTTCTGTACCAAATTATTTGCAATCTTCTTCTCCACCAGAACTACTAACCTGAAGAAGAACCTCAATTGTGGTTTCTCTTTCAGTTTGTATAAACTACTATGTAGCTGATCTATCCATAAGCTCAAGGCGACTCGAATAAATTGTAAAGCGAAGAAAAAGAAAGTCCTGTTGTATCAAACCCCAGAATTAGTCTTGAAATCCAGTTCTCTATCTCTATACTCCCTGCTGTATGTTTGATGGGAGATCTATGTAACCGTCAATATGCCACTCCCTATGGCAGATGCGAACGGGCTCTCCGGAAGGTTAAGTCCTTGGCTGCTGAAAGGAAAGAAGGAATATACATACAAAAAATAAAAATTAAAAAAATGGAAAGATGGTACAAGCTATATGAGTGATGTAAAAAGGCATCTATAGGTTTACCTATCCTGTTCATTGCATTTAGTACTAATATGAACCAGTTCCTTTTCTTCACTGGTGGAAGCATTGTTCAAAACATCCAACAAATAGCTAAAACGCTCAGCGTATGGAAATTCTGCTTGTTCTGTACGGGATACAGCACCGAAGATGAAATGAGAAATAGTATGGAAACTCGGGTCAAGGTAGAATAAAAGGACAAAAAATTGCAAGAAACACAAACCAGATGGAAAAATTGTTATATGTAGATTGAAAATGTGAAGCATCAAACCTACCCTCAGGAAGCTTCAACTCATCCATAGAGTAGCCATAATAAGATCGATGCGACGAGGGTTTAGCAGTCAAGTTCATTTCTGAGAAACATCTTCTATCAAGTTTGAAACCTTCCTCGTTATCCAACATTAGGTGCTTTCTTAGGAATCTTGGCTTACCATAATCCCTTGGCACTAAAAAATTCAGAGAAACAAACTGCTTAAGATAAAAGGAAACAAAAGATAAAGAAAATGTGCTGCATAATGACATGTCTAAATTTCAACCAAAATTTACTCACACGAGTGGAACTCTGAATCTCCATCCATGAAGTGTTGATCGCAGCATGAAGCATGCAACATTTTCTCCGCAAATTTCCTACAGCATGGTAAATACTTCAAACCATTAAAACTCGTTGAAGAATGCATTGAGGAGACTACATGGAAATGCAATCGAAATACAAACAAAGAAAAACACGACACTACTAAGGTACGGAAAAATGTAGACAAAATTACAATAATAAAAATATAAAATAAAACCTAGTTAAGCGAATCAAATTATGATTTCTCCAAAATAGGTTTCAGAAGCAGGAAGCTTACTAAAATAAAATGGGGAATTCTTTGGTAAGGTATTGAAAAAAGAAAATGCTACAGCCAGAGCACAATTTTGATATGATTATGACATGATCATGTTTTGCTAAATTGTCATAATTTTCTTAATTTAATATGATTATGACGTGATCTACTGTTTAAAAACTGTGTTCTACTGATAGAGTATTTTTTTTATACTCCACCACAGATTCATGGAATTCACAATATTTATATATATATATTGCGTGGGTGTGTGTGGGTGGGTGGGTGTCTAAGGAGAATCTCTCTACAAATGACTTCACCACAACCATCCTAGATCACCATAAGTGAAAATATTCTAAGACAATGTTACAAGGAAAATAACTAATCAAAAAGGTGCATTATTAGTCAATTTTAAAGGACAAAAGCCAGCTGCAAGATCAAAGATGAAAAGAAAGCTCAAGAACCAAGATGCTTTCTAAGTCAATATTCTAAAGGTCAACTACTGTGACTGTCTTCTATATTCAGTCCGGCATCATTAGTGTTCCATCTCTAAAGTAATGGCAACCATTGTCCCACATTGTCAACCAAGTAAAAAGATGCTTTGCGGTTGGGAGAAAAACAACTTGAAAGATAGAATCGAAAACAAATTCCAGCTTCCAAGAAACACCAAAGAAAAGGAACTGGAAAGATTCAGACATGTTCAAGACAACATATGAATGAAATTGTGCCAATTGTGAAAAGAGGTTTGAGCATGCATATGAATAACTAAAGACGGGAATGAAAAGCTCAGAATCTATATTACAATATCAAAACGGCTTAAAAACGTTTCATCAATAGTTACTGATGTGATTATTCTTTACTTTACTAGCTTAGATGTAACAACACCAGATCAAACCGTCAAGAAAAGACAACAACAACACAACATAAGAAATAAAACTACTCACCTATCAACAAGCCTCGACTTTTCCCTGTAAGGTTTTACTAGAACACGAGCCCCGCATACGAAATGAGGATTCCCTTTCGATAAAATCTGCCTGACCGTTTCTGGATAAACAAAGGTAACAAAGCCAAACATTCTCTTTTGTTGACATGGAATTCTTACATCTTGAACAGGCCCAAATTTGCTGCAACAAAATAATAATAATAATAATGAGAAATGGTAATGAATTTAATATATTATATTAGGAAAAAAAAAATGTTTAGCTCCCAATAGAATACTCAATCACCCTTACTTGAAATAGTTGGAAACATCTTGCTCTGTGAAAGTACTCTCAGCGGGAAAAGTAAGATAAATCTGTCTAGAACCAGAAACAATTACACCAGGTTCATTTTTCTCACCAGCATAATCTAAATATCTAGGAACATCTTCTGCCAATATGACTGAATGTTGCCCATGAGGCCTGTAAATATTAACTTCAAATGTTAAGCAATTACAGAAAAACAATTTACGTTTCAACTTAAAACTCCAAACACAAAAACTATAAAAACACCTGTCAACGATACGAATGCTGTGCTTCAATCTTGCGAGGAGCTTCGTCAGACTATAGCCAGTCTTACCATGCCTTTGGCTCTCTGTAAGGTACCCTTCAGCCTGAAGAGACCTTCCATATTTCTCATAATACATCATTGGCAACGAGGCAATCGATACCGGAGATCCTATCCTCGATCTCAAAAGCTCGACTATCTCCATCTCCAGCCTCTCAAGAGTGCCAGGTGAGATGGCTTGCTCATCATTTGGAACCTCGTTTGAAACAATCCGCGGAAAGCTTTCTGGCAAAGGATGGCCATGGAAGTACTTGCAGTTGGTTCCATGCTTACAATGCCCCTTATTGAAGTAATGGCAGACCTTAACAGGAAATTCCGACAAGCTCGGAGATCTTCGACTGGCTCTTAACCCCAATGCCAGTTCAGGGTAATAGTAACCACTAGAAAAGTCAGAACTAACTGAACAAGCAGATTCTAGTGGATCTTCCAAACTCAACAAGTGAAGTTGATTTTGGAGATGAAAATTTTCAGCAGTCGAATCGACATATCCTTGATTTATGACTTCAGCATTGTGATCCCAGTAATAATTAGGCCTTGCTGAGACAGGGGTGTAGGATTGGAACTGCAAAGGAATGTCCAAGACCGGGATTTGATTCACCTGAGAAGGCGAAATCGGAGCAGGAACCGGTGATTTGGATGATAAGCCGAGCTCGGTTTTGGCTCTAGTTATCAAAGAATGCATCAAATTATCCGGGCTGAAAGCCAACCGAATCATGTCACGCTCACCGTGGTCTTGAAGCAGAAGATACCCAATTATCTTAGACACATTTTCAGGTTCTAGTTTCTGAATTCTATTGTACACTATCTTTGTAGACTCCGAAAAATCCATCTCAATTATCAACCCTGAATGTGAAATACAGATCAAGAATACAATATTACTCAAACAAAGTAATATATATGTACACAGAAATTCAATCATTATACAGAAATAAGTCAAAAATATATATTATTTTTTCCCTTCTTTTATATGCTAAGAAAGGAAAGAGAATTCCAGGCAAGATTTTACCAAAAAAAGCGAAACTGAATGTGACCAAATAATAACTAGTTCTAGAAAAACAACTTCAGCAACAAAAACAAAAATTTACTTTTTCAATTCATTTACGCGTAAATAATACTAACCACCAAACACCCAAATGGACCATGTTTTCTGGAAATCCGCCTTTCTTCAGAAGAAATCTATGAACTTGTTAAATAACAAATACCATAAAAATGTAAACCAGAAAACAATTTTATAGTACAAATAAATCAAAATGGGAAAAAAAATCAAAACATTGAAATTGTAAACTTTCCATGTCCAACTTGCGACGAATCCAGTAACAATACGAAGGAGAGAAGAAACAAAATAAATAAATAAATAAGCCCCCTTAAGCACTCAAATCTCAGTACCAAAATAAAGAAGTATGAGATTTTTCTGAAGAATTCATCCTTTGGAGTTGCACTAAACAAAAAAAAGAAAAAATTGAAACCGCCGTTTTGAAACATCTTTGATAAACCCACACATAAAAAAAAATCTCAAATAAAAAACACGACATGCAAATTAAAGAAACCATTTTTGAAAGGATGTGAAATACCCACCAAAGTTTTTGAAGATGAAAAAGAAGAAGTCAAATGAACTCCATAACAGCCATGTTTACTCAATAATCACTCTCTACCCTTTTTTTCTTTTCTTCTTTTCTTACGACACCAACGACACCATTCTCTTCAGAAAAGCAAAAATGACAGAAAGGATAGCTTTTAAAGGGCGCCTTGTTTTTAGTTCAAATCAACACACGTAAAAATCTCCCACTTTAAATCTCATGGAGGAAATTACAAAATAAATAATTAAATAATTAGATATCAAGTAATTCAATTGATTATCTTGTTTAATTTGGATTTAAGCTTACACCTCTTTCAGTTATTTGCCACTCTAAACTTGTAATTTTTAATTTTTTAATTTGTTTTTGGCAAAAAATGACATTTTTTCTTGTCTAGACAACTTTTAATAAAAAAGGAAATTACAGGTTGTACTTCTCATCACAGAGAATTGCGGCAATTTATAGGAAAAGCGCCCGGATTTCCGAAACAACTTACCCTGAAATGTCGAAAACGCCATGGATTAACTTTGAAAGAGTCCATATTAGTTATTCTTTTTATATTCCTTGAAAAAGAAAAAAGGGAAAAATAGTGTGTTTCGGAAATATCTATGTGGTTGTGGCTATGCTGAACATGTCTAACGGGATATGGCGTCTAGGTGGAGATTCTACGGAGGCGATCTTTTAGGAAATAACTTTATGTATTCAGAATTATTTTTATATTTTTTTTGAAAGAATCATAAATTATAATTTAAAATTAAAGATAAATATATGAAACAAATATTCTCTTAACCCGTCTTATTTAATGGATCAAATAGTTTTAGTTGCGTGATTCGAACTCTACATTGACTTCAGATATAAGATTAGTTTAGTATTGTTCTAGATTTAGAAAAATTATTTTAGTTGTGTTGAAAAAAATAGTTATAAAAAATAATTTAGTGTTTAATAAATTATAATTATATAAGTATTGATTATAAAGGTGTTATGGGTATTATGAAAGTTTTATTAATTATACTTCAAAGTGATTATCGAACAATTTAAAAGTTAAAATTGTCTTTGGGCTCCTTCTGATTTTAACTGTAAATTCTTCAAAAATTCTTTAAGAATCACTTTATATAGATTTTACAAAACACAATTTCAACTTTAGATAGCTAAAAAATTAATTTTATGTTATAAGAATCATTACCAAACATACTCATAATATCAATTTTATCCATCATTTAAATTATTTGTTTTCTTTTTTTTTCTCTATAAAAAAAGAGTACAATTACTTATTTAGAGATTATATGTGAATGCAAATCGGGAATGCTATAACAAATAGTTTTATCTTTATGTTGTTGAGGTTTTAATTATGTGTTCAATATAGATATTAATCATGTTGACTTCAAATGTTAAATTCAATAATTCAAATTCCTTTTTTTATTGAAGGAAAAAATTGACAAATTTGTAAGTAAGCACAGCTATATTGCATTTGCCTATATAAAGTGCAGCTCTCAACACGATACGTTCAAAAGGCTTTTTTTTTTTTTTTTTTTTGAGATTCTCAAGTATGGTAATATATCTGTAGGTTAAGTTTTTTTCATTAAATTTACATAAAATTACGTAAAAGTTAAAAAATACATAAATTTAACGGTTAAAAAAATTAGACTTATCAGTATGCTAGGTGTATCAAAGAATCTCCATTTTCTTTTTTGTAAAATAAAAAAGTGCATTGAAAACTTGCAATCTTTTCATGTTAAAAATTGTTTTACGTTCTCCCTTAAAAAGAAGGGAGCTTCTCTTATAGGATTAAAAAAATAGAACTACTATTATTTTTATTTTTTTAGTCATTTTTAACTATTAAATCTGTATTAAAAATTATCTATTTTGTATATTTTTTTAATCTCATTTAATTTTAATTAAATTTAATGATTAAAAGACTAATTCTATTGATAGGATGACCTACTAAAGAAAGTCCCCAAAAAAAATTTTTAAAAAAAAGAGAAGTGTGTGTATGGCCATACGTTTTTTTAAAACAAAAAAAAAGTTTTACGGGCATTATTGTCATTTCGGTAAATAGAAAAAAGAACAAATAATAAGTGTCGCACATGCATCAACCAATGACCCCACAAGATTAACGGCAGCGGCTGTGATTGAAACTTGAAGCAACAGTTTTGGGCCGCGGAATCATATCATACAAATGCATGATTGCCACGTGTCCGTTTGGCGCCGAATAAGAGCCTGCCGTTTCTGAGGAGAGGTTTGTTGCTAGTGATCAATGATAAACCCTAGGATATAGGATCTTAGTTTTGATAATTTGAATTTTTAATTTAAATTAAAATATAATTTTATATAAAAAAAAATTTTATATTAAAAAAATAAAATTTAAATTAAAAATAAAGTCATAACTCGAGAGTAACGTACAATACATGTCCGAGGTGGCAAGATATGGGTCCCGCTCTTAAAGGAGGTTTCGTTTCAATTTTATCCGTGATTGGCGGGTAAATTTGCTCCCTTTTTATACTTTTTTTTTAGGGAGTCCTTTTTTTTTTTTTTTTTTTGGGGGCTTTTTTTTTTTTTTTTTTTTTAACTCTCTTCCTTTAACTTTTTTTTTTTTTTTCAAAAAGGGGAATTTAAAAAAAAAAAGATACAGCTTGTTTTATGGTCTTTTCCTTTAACCTTTTTGACGTCATTTTTGAGATTTCAGAAAAGAAAAAAAATAATTGTCTAATTTCTTTTTAAGTCAATATTTATTTGAGATTACAGGATAATTCGTGAAAATTACAGTTGTCCCATCTTTCCTCGTCAAAAGTAACCTTTTTCCTCAATTAAATTTTTTTTTTCGAATTTCAACATTTAGGAGTACTGAAATTTTGAGTCATTCCACCTTCAAAAAAAAAATTTGAGTCCTTCCTAATTTACTCTTAAATTAAACTCTCACTTTACTATTTAAATTTTAAATTAGTCTTATTTAAGTTTTTTTTATAAAAATTTCTGTTAAAACTATATTAAAAAAAAAGAATTAAGTATGCTCATGTAATTTTTATCTCTTTATTTTTAACAAATATTCAAACTAAAAGAGTGTGCGAATGCATAACTCTTTTTTAATTTTTTTTAACAAAAATTCTAACAAAAAAGATTAAGTATGAACAATTTAAAATTCAAAAGGTAAAATGAGAATATTTAAAATTCAATAGACAAAATAAAGATGGCCTCAAAATTTAAAAGCACCAGTAATAATAATCTTAATATTAGGCATTATTAGCAATAATGACCATTTGGTTTCTATTTAAAAGATTTACATACATGAAAAACATTTGAATGTTCAAAAGTTTTTAGGAAATATAGTTTTTTTTTTTTTTTTGAAGATTCCTACCAATGTTTCAAGTATAACAATTTTATTTTGAGCTTTTTATCAAAAAAAAAAAATAAAGATGATAATTTCATTCAACATCCGGTAGAAATATCGAGATTGATATGACAAAACTACAGTAAACGAAATGGTTTTTTTATTTATTTATGGTGATAAACAAAGTAGTTAAACAACAAAAAAATATAAATAAATAAATAACCAACAACTTTTCTTGTTTTCATCCTGCGTAATGGCGCCAAAATTTGTGAGGGCGACAAAAAAGAAAAGAAAAAATATGTTTTGTTAAAATACCATTCACAATTTTTATTATGTAAATGCCCAAAACATTTAATGTATTTGTAAAAACAAACCCAAAATACTATCTGAAGCAATTAAATTTTTAAAATGCTATGATTACCCTTTTCAATCTACATAAACGTTGATAGGATTAAACTAAAAAGTAAAATAAAAAAATTTAAAATGCTCACATAAATATTCAAATATAAAATGCTTCAATTATCTTGAGAGATTTTTTTAAGATTTCACTTAACATTTCAGCCTAATAATGTTTTAAATTGTATTTAAGAAGATTGGAAGGGTAATCCTAGTATTCTAAAAAAATATAATTAGTTGAAGGGGTATTTTGGTTTAATTTTTATAAACACGTGATGTTTTAAGTATTTACATAATAAAAGGATAAACACGTGATATTTTGAGGTGTTCTAGTGTTATTCCTAAAAAAACTTGTTAGTTTCCTTGGGTGATCACTGAAGATATGACGAATTCATTGTAGAATTACAATTTTATTGCTTCGAGAATTTCTTAGCAGTTACCTTGCTCCGTTAGAATAGGATATTTCATGTGATTTTTTGAATCTTGTGATCAGCCAGGAAAGATTATTAGCCAAAACAAAACACGATTTTAAAAAAAGAAATATATATATATATATATGATTTAACTTATGTATTATTAACTGACCGTAAAGTATTTATAACATATTAAAAAAAAACGGTAGATGTCTGATTTTGATCACCCTTTTTAATTAATCACCGAACATTAATTTATCTGTTTTTTTTTTTAGTTAAGTCATCATTTTTCCCTTATGCTGGATTTTACAGTGTCTAAAATCATTAACATACCATTAGTATATCACTAATTTACCAATAGTTTATAAATAATAGAATATTGGTTGGTATTTGTTGATATTGGTCTATCAATGATAAACCACTAAAGATTAATTTGACATTGCTGTGTTGTTAAAAAATTTTACTTTTATTGTACTGTTAGTAATAAGTTGATTTGACAAGAAACTTATAGGTGTTTGGTAAATATTTTTATAAAGTTGCTGTGAGTATCAAAAGTATAAATTTAAGTGCATGATAAACTATGTATAAAATTGTTGTTTAAATGTATGATGACGAAAGTAGACATACTTTATTACATATATTTATAGTTAGTTTTATTTTTATTTTTGTAGTCAATATTCATAGTATAAAAAATATATTTTAAATTTTATTAATTAAAATAGTTCTTAAAAGGAGAAAAATTATTCATCTATTAATATTTATTATTGTTATTTTTTAATATTTTGATAATTATTAAAAATACTTGAATGAAATTAGCATAGCATTTATCAAAGATTTTCAAATTTTAAATAACTATTTTTAAAATATATCTTTTTAATTTGTTATGGAAAACGTAAAATAGGTGTATTGAGAATTAAGTTTTATTATTGAAGTTATCTTAGAGCCCATTTTGTTCATGGATTAGAACCATTTTTG